AGGGAGCGGCATGGGCGGCCCCGGCCTTTCCCCCCAGTGCATTGTGGGAAGGAGCGACATGGGCGTCCCCGACCTTCCCCCCCAGTGCATTGTGGGAAGGAGCGACATGGGCGTCCCCGACCTTCCCCCCCAGTGCATTGTGGGAAGGAGCGACATGGGCGTCCCTGACCCTCCCCTCAGTGCATTGTGGGAAGGAGCGACATGGGCATCCCTGACCCTCCCCCCCCAGTGCATTATGGGAAGGAGCGACATGGGCATCCCTGAACTCCCAGGGCAGGGTGAGGGATTGAGTTGACACCACGCAGGGCATTCTGGGACTGAAGAACAGATGTGGACAAGGCCCAGTGCATGATGGGAAGCAGGGACAGACAGGAAGGGGTGTCAGGCCGTGTGGCCAGAGGGGTAGGACTTTGGCCATTCCTGGCTCAGTGCCGAGAAGCAAGGGCCACCCTGCTCCCTGCAACCCCCTTGGGCAGCTCCCAAAACATGACTGCTTCTTCCCCCACCTACCAGCCCCCCAGAAATTGACCCAAAGTGGACTGGCCAGCCTGTAGCTTGCTTTTGTCCTCACCCATGCCACAGCCCCTCAGCCGAGCTGGCCAACTAGACCCCTTCCCTATCACCCCATTTTAAAGACAAAAACATTTAAATATTAAGAATGTCTCTTTATTATAATAAATATAAAAGTAGGTAAGAACCCCTCCCCCCACACAGAATACCCCCACTCAGGGGAGGGGGATAACATTTTGATGAGGCAGCAGCAGTGGGGAAATCCCTTCTCCATTCTTCAAGACCAGTTTTTTTACATTCACAATCCATGGGGTGGGTGGGAGTCGCTCGCACCCAGCCTTGAGCGGGTTTCAGTGGAGAAAGGCCCGGAGCAAGCAGCGTTTAACCTGCTTTTATAGAACAGCCCAATATTTAAAACCACGACCGTTAAAAAATAAAAATATCAGAGACCTCCAGTGAGGATAAAAAGCTTACAGGCAAGGAGCAGGGATTCCTCTCCGAAGAGAATTCCCAACTCATGAGCTCGTAGTGAGATTTCATCTACCAAGTCACCATCCACACAGGCTGCAGCTATGGAGGTCTGAGCCGGAAGGCAGCACTCATCAGGGTGGATTAGATCTTCCAAGGAGGGGGAGAAACACCCCCCCCCCCACACACACACACACGTTTCTAGTGGTGGTCAAAGATTGTGAAGCACTGGGAGCAGCTGACCTTGTTCTTCCAGCAATGGAGGAGCTGGGTGGGAACAGTGGTCTGAGGTCAGGTTCTGCCAAGTAAACGCAGCAAGGGGCTAGAAGGAGCGGTCTAAGAAACGGTCCAGAAGGTCACCACTAACGGGCCAGAAGTCCTCGCTCTCTGTCTGGCAGGCAGTATCTCTGTGGCTTTCCTTCTGGTCATTACCTTGCGTGAGGGGCGGGGGTCTGTGGGGAGATCAGGATGAGAGATTCAGAATCATGTTCTACTACGTCCCAGATTCCATTTTCTTTCCCTTACACATGGGGACATCAAGAAGGTCCCAAACACAGCGCAGGAGACATGGCAGCGGCTCTTAATACCTGAATCCTACCAGCGGGTGTAGTTGCTAATAAACTCCCCTCTACCCCCTCCCCACACACCCAGCTTCGCCCAGATTCCCACCCTCCACCACCCATTGGCGGCGGCTTCCCCAATCCTTGCCACAGGTCCCCGTCCTGGTTTCTCCAGCATTTCGCAGCCAGCCTTTTGTGCATATCCTTCCCCTTCCTCAACAATGAGTCCCTGTGCTGGGCCCCGGGGTGCCGTCATTGCCTGCTTTCCAGCCAACCCGCGTGCTGCTCGTGACCCTCTAGGGCTGTTCCAAGTCCCCAGCCCCATAACTGCAGCAGCCCGGCTCGGTCACTGGTTAGCTCCGTCTGGCTGCAGTGATGCAGTTGGCCACAGCGGTTGGGAAGGACTGGCTTATGTCTGGTCCACCTCGCAGAGCGCGGCCTTCCCCTGCCACCCCGTACCCGTTATCCGGGATGAGCTTCAGCACCCTGAGCAGCTCCGCCGTGCTGGGGGTGGCGAGACTGGGGGCGAGGTGCCTGCTTCTGACCCGCACCACTGGGGTGTTGGCCTTCGGGTGGGGGGTGTAGGTGGGTTTGTTCCATTTCTTTGGCTGGGGGAGACTCGCCTGTTCTTCAGCTGAGGAGGAAGGGAAAGGGAGGGAGGTTAGAACGAGCAGCCATGGGACCTGGCCAAGGACACTGCAAACACAGCGCTCACACGCAGGAGCGTAGATACAGCCAGTGCTGGGTGTGTGCTGCCTGGAGGAGGAGTCCAGAGCCTCTGCACCAGCTCTGCTTCCAGCCGGGTGCCCGAAAGCTTCAGGGCACGGTCTGAGCCGGGGCAAGCAGCAGGGGTCCCAGCTTGCCCGTGCAATACAAGTGCGGAGTCCAGGGCAAGGGAGCTGGTGCCTTTCCCAGCGGTGGTGGGAACCCACGTGCCTGGGCCGGAAACCTGGGTGCTGGTCCGGCCCTACTCACCCTGTGCGGCGAGTGGGGCCGATTGCCTCCGCCCGGGCTCTCTGGGTTCCAGCCCAGCCATCGTGCTCAGGAAATGCTGCTTCAGGAGCAGGGCTCGTTCCTCCTCAAACTGCTTCCTCTGGCAGGAGAGGGGACGAGGAGAAATAAGACGCCGGGACGACGGGGGAGGG